CGGCCCCACAGGAAGTGGACCTGGTCGAGCCCCGACGGTTCGACAAAAAGTGAGATTGACTTCATTATGACGACTAGACGACAACTGTTCAGTGATTTCTAAGTGATCGCGAGAGTGAAAGCCAACAGCGATGACCAAATGGTGAGAGACCTAAACCTAAACCTTAAGTTGGAGAGACCACGTCTAATAAATTCAACGCATGGAGCGTTCCCCCTCGTGCTCTAATCCAAAATCCCGAAAGCTTTCATTTCCTCTAATGTCAGAAGAGTTTTCAGTGCCTAGAAGATTGCTATGCAGTGGCCGATATGAATGAAAAACTGGTGGAAACTGTCCATGTGGTTGGAGCTAAGTTTTGCAAGACCCGCTGCAATGAACACAAAATCTCTCCGATCACACTTTTAATCTCATGGCTGTTAGACAGGAAATGAAGCTGCAGTCTTCAGCAGACTTGACAGCATACAGGCAACTGAGCAGACAAATCTCCAAATACATGCTGTAAGACTTACGCAACTCCAATACAGCTCTTATTGAAGAAGCAATTGAATGAAACCGGTGATCCATAGTCTCTGCCAGAGAAATGTCTGCAAGAAAGAGCTAACTGTCAAAGCTGAAGACCGAGAGTGGCGGCATCGTTTCCCGGATACCTGAGATTTTGAGTGAGATTGAGAGGTTCTATGGGCAGCTGTACACATCATCGTTGGAGCCACACGCAGGTGTGGGTAACGATCTCAGAGCAAGTCTTCTCCGACACTATTCCGATGATATTTTCGACGACAGTATGAGCGAGATTAGAATGGCTGTACAGCACCTTAAAAACGGCAAGTCCCCCGGGCGAGGATGGAATCACAGCGGAGCTTCTGAAAGCGGGTGGCAAACCGGTACTTACTTGAAGACCTTCAGAGGCTCTTTAATTCCATCCTCCTAGGCGGCACTACACCGTAGACGTGAAGCATAACTGCGGTAGTCTTGTTCTTCAACAAAGGCGAAAACACTCTCTTGGAGAACAACAGCCCGATTTCGGACTTGAGCCACGTCTACGTACTGTTTTCGAGAGTCATTACGAACTTGATAACTTCCAGCCTCCCAAACAAGCCGGTTTTCGAAAAGACTAGCACCTTAGACGACATGCATACCCTTCGGAAAATTGTACATAACACCGAGGAGTACAGTCTGCCACTATGTCTTGCCTATGTGGACTGTGAGAAAGCCTTTGATTCCGTCTAAATTTGTGTGGCGCTGCAGTTCTTTCAGCGGTGCCAAGTTGACTGTCGGAATATCCAAGTATATATACATAATTATATCCCCGAAACTCTTCACCGCTGCATAGAAAGACGTTTTCAAGCTACTTGGCTGGAAAGGATACGGTATTAACGTTAATGGCGTGTACATAACTCACGGTAGGCAAAGTGTAGGGCGAACCCCTACTAGATGGAGTGACGACCTGGTAAAACATGCAGGAAGTCAATGGATGCAGGTGGCTCAGGACCGTGCTTTGTGTCATTCCTTGGGGGAGGCCTATGTTCAGCAGTGAATTTGTGAAGGGCTGTAATGATGATGAAGTTGTTTTATAATGTTACACTATTACGCTTTCAGAATGGAAAAATTATTTGACATTCTAAAGGCGGCTACTCACCTGCCTGCCGCAGGGGCAATCTAGGGTGTAGGAGTGGGGATGATCCTTAATTGCCTCCTTAATTGTGATTTGCTTAGGCGGCAGGGACGCAAGATCTTCTTTGCTCGCTAGATCGGCCCTTCCGCTGTCGCGCGTGTAGCGCAATTGGCGCAATTTCAACAAGTTCGTTAGCGACTTTCGCGCAGAGCACACGTTTGAGTACAAGTTACTATGGACAACAATAAAGAGCGTGAAGTTATTACCCATGTCCAACAGGTGATAAAGTGTATAAAAAGCGGTTTCTTCACCCAGTATCTCATTTTTGTCTTTTTTGCGATAGCACCGCAGAAAGAACATTATTTGAACGTTGTAACTTACAAGTAATATTACTGGGATTGGTTTCTGTGCAGATATCTACATAACGTATCATAATGACCAGAATGGGAAATAAAATATTCCGATAGTATTAGAATTTCTGGAATATAAATAAAACGACATTAGCTAAATAATTAAATAATAATTAAAATTATAGTAATTAAATTTATTTAAAGGTAGGCTCTTTTCTGGAAGGTCCCAAGTCGTATCGGTCCTAAAAAATCGCTAGTTTCAATCGATTCCACAAGGAAGTAATGCAAGGGAGAAAACTTCTTCTAAATCGCAGAGTAGTAAACCGCCAATCATCCAGATGGTATAGATGGTATCGCGAGTTTTGTCGCAATGTGCGATGGTGAAATTGAGCGGCTGGAATTAGTCCGAACAATTCCTTAGAGCACTCCACGTGAAAGATGCGATAAAATACGCAAAGAGATGTAACATCTCTACGCAGTGCCAGTGAGTTAAGCCGATCAGAAAAAACTCGGTCGTCGACGATTCCAACACGCGCTGGATGCGGTCAAGTGGAAAAACCTAGCATTGGGGTGCCCCTGCCCAGAGATGGGAACAGTATTCCATGTGAGGTCGAACCTGCGTCTTGTAAAGTTGCAAGCGGTGTGCCGACATGAAATACTGTCCCGCTCTGCTGAGCATGCCAAGCTATTTAGAGGCCAATTTGGCCTTCTCTCCAAGTGACCACGAAACTGCACACTATTCGATATGTCTACGCCAAGGATTCTGATACTACCTGAGGCAGCAAGTGGAGTTCCTTGAGACTGAGGAGATACGACAAAGGCGTTCTTTTAGGGGTAAAAGCGCAAACTTGTGTCTTCTAGGGATTGAACTGGACTAGATTTAATCGACCCCAGTCTGAAACTTTGTTTAACAAAATCTCGATTTGAGACTCAAGTTTGTCCCGGTATTCGGCGACGTTTTCCCGGGAAACATTGGCGCGGCCGGTGTATAAAGAATCACCATTGCTGTCGTCTGCATAGCAATGAATATTACTGGTTTGCCACATATCATTGATACGCAGAAGAAACAGCGTTGGTGATAGCATGCAGCCTTGTGGAACACCATCGTTAATGGGCTTGTAATCGGAGCATGCACCGTCTACTAAGACCTTGATGCTCCGATCTGCAAGAAAACTAGTGATCCAATTGCACAAATTTCTCGGGAAGCCCATAGAAAGGCAGCTTCGAAAGAAGTGCTTTGCACCGAATCCGATCGAAGGCCTTCGCTATGTCCAAACTTACGGCCAACGCCTCCCCCTGGAACTCCACTGCCTCCGCCAATCTATAAGTTAGGTAACCTAAAAGATCACCAGCTGAGTGACCTCGACGGAAACCGTACTGGCGGTCTCTAATCAGCTGGTGATCCTCAAGGTACCGCATGAGCTGGCTGTTAATAATGGTTTCCATTACTTTGGAGAACAAGGAGGTGATAGCGATAGGCCTGTAGTTGGACGAATCTGAGCAGTCGCCCTTTTTAGAAATCGGGTGCACCAAAGCTGTCTTCCATGAGTTCGGAACAAGGCTTGGGGCGTAGGAGTACGAGAAAAGATGCGTTAAACGTCTTCAGCACAATAGATGGGACTCCATCAGGCCCACTCGACTTGTTGACGTCCAAGGAGAGGAGTGCTTTACGCACCGAGCGCTGTGTAAGCAGTACTTCCTGCTTGGAGCACTCACACCCGGGATGGTCGGTGGTGTATTCCCCCCGTCATCTTGAGTCGAGTTGGAAGCAAAAGAAAGCCTAGCAGATCGGCTTCCTCTTTTGCGTCATAGGCCAGTGAGTCGTCCACCCTGTGCAGAGATGGCAGAAATGGCACTAGTTAGATAAGTTATATCACATAAAATATTGGTTATATTAAATTATAACGAGTGAAGTTAGTCACATTTAATTATCTTTAATAGCCTAAAAATAGCGTGGTAGAGTTATGCTGCAGCTTATAAGCATTATATAATGGTTTTAATTATTAATTTGTTGTTTTATTGATAAATGTGGGTACCTAAGGGCCACAGTGTCCACTTACCATCAGGTGCTCATTTGTCACCCTTATTCTATATAAAAAAGAGCCAAGACTACATATATTCATTGATATTTCGATATAACTGGCACCATTCTCAACGCGTGCGTCCAGCGAGACGTACACTCTCATACTGAACCGTTCAGTCTGAACGGCAGGCGTGTGTGTAGAGCAAGCTCCGATATTGCCCCGATCGCTGTTCTCCCTAGATTGCCTCTGCGGCAGGCAAGTGAGTAGCCGCCATAAGGATTGAGGCGGCTTTAAAAAAGAGCAAAATCTCAACCCTTTTGTGTGTATTGTATGGGAAATATTCACTAATTTTGGACCGATTTTAATATTCATTTTTAACTAAATAGGTGTAAAGGGTTACCACATATAAAAATTGAAGAAAAATTTCACACAAAGTTTGACAAAATAGGAGATTTTTAATGTTACTATTTATACGACATACTAGTTAAATATAACTTTTTCACTCGATTTGGTTGAATACACTTTAAATGAAAAGTAAAAGCCGATATGAAATATCAAAAAATAATAAAATAATCTCCACAGAACTGCAACTAAAGTCGGAACTTTAATTTTTCTCTACATTTTGTCATTGCACTGACTTTTATAGCTATATGAAGTAAATGTAGATTATTTTATTATGCTTAGTTTTTTAAATTATGTCTTACTTTTTACTGAAAGCTATTTTTTTAGTTTATGGTAGTGGGTTTTATTTTCTTCATATTAAATTATTTTGATAAATTTAACGTAAAATATTAAAGTGCATTAGGTTCATATTTGTACTTAAAATTACGTTAAAATAACGTAATAAATAACGCTATTCTACTTATTGATGATTTGATTTTGAAATCAATTAATAAACAATAATAGTTTATTGTTTTTTAAATGATTTCTTTTTTTATTAACAGTAAAAGCATGAACTAAATTTTAAGGATATCTAATTTAATATTTTAAATTGAATTTTTATTCATTTTCATGCAGTATCATCAGCGCAACGTGAAATAGGCAAGGGAGTTACCACAAATGCCTCCGCAACATCCTCACCTGGTTCCGGAGATAACGCCATACGCTCCGGAATAGCGGTTGCTGTCGGGCCACGACCCACTCCTCGCACCGGACCCTACTTCGATTTAGCGGCTTCCAAAAATGTTACAGCACTACTTGGCAAGACCGCATACTTAAATTGCCGTGTGAAAAATTTAGGAAATAAGACGGTAAGACTATTCATTCTAAATAAATATAAATATAACGTCAAACGTTAGTGTAAAATAATAAGCTTTTAATTTAGGTGGATAAACATCGCAACCTATCATGAAAAATGTAGAAGTAAATAAAATTAGTTACTTGATTTAGTGTTAATTGCATTTTATAAAAATAACTACATCTTAAAATTCATGAACACTACTTTGCTTAACAGAGGTGCATTCGATTTCTTCTCTTTTGTCGGCCAATATAAGTCCACAGCTGTACATGTGTCTCTGCCTTTGTAGGGAGGATCTTGGCAAGCTATCACATTGCCAGTGGTATGGCACCTGTGATGCTGCTGATGTATTTGGTTCAGTGGCTATAGCCTCCCCAAAGCCACTAAGTTTAGCAAATAAAATTAAATCTAAGTTAAGCTGGCCAATTTAAAGTTTTTTTTTATAAAAAAAATTATGTACATACAACAAGATACAGGAACATTCTTATAGAGAGTTCGTACAAAGGTTCTACTTATTCCATAATTTTCTGTAATGTCTTCCACCCAGAAAATAAAATATATTCTAAATGAAAACTTAGTGCATATGTCGCTACTAAAAAATAAATTAGTTCGTTTTTATACTACGATTGGCGGTAACACAGTGTAGTGACAGCGCGAAAGAAACCACTACCCCATAATATCATATCGTGTGTGTCGTAAGAGGCGTCAGAGGAAATCTTAAACAAAAGAATGGCAGCAGCATCTTCCAGCTGTAAAAAAATTAAATAACTTGCTACTATACTATGTATATTATTGTGTTCTTGGAGTAAGACTTTGGAATTTCTTACCCCAGTCGATTGAAAGCGTTCAATCCTTACATTAGTTTAAGTAACAAGTTAAGGAACACTATTTGTTTCTCGAATCCCTCTCTTTTCCTCCTTTTATATATGGTCACTGATCTACCTAAAGTATGTTGTCTTTTTAGTGCATAAGTTGCCTTGTTATCTCTTATTTTAATTTTATTATTTTTCTGGGTTTCCTTTTACAACTTGAATGTTGTAAGAGGAAATGCTCAGATAATTTAAAATTAAAAATTTTGTACAGCCGACTTCAATATAAGTTATTAAGCATAACTCAAAAACTATTGGTCTGACCTTGATCAAATTAACATGGGACCACACGAAAAGTACCAGCTTTCATATAAAAAATAATCATCGAAATCGGTCCACCCAATAAAAAGTTATGAGGTAACACATTAAAAAAACATTCGCGTCGAATTGAGTACCGTCTCCTTTTTGGAATTCGGCAGAAAAATATCATGGCTTCTTAAAGATGACGACGGTATGACTATATCGTATTCGTCAGACATAATATACTCAAATCAAACTTCTTGTCGTGCAAAACTTCTGGTACTGTAATAGTTTATCCGTTTGCCAAAACTTGATATTATAACAACTCCTCCCCACATCAGGAGAGGAATGAATATTAAACCAGCATTAGACTTTTACTGTCCTATAAAATAAAAGGCTATTTAATCATTGTTCTAATAATATTGCGATACTGTTATTATGAAAATTAGTTCGCAGTCATGAAAGTATATACAGCTAAAATTTTCACTATCAAGTTTTTACCTCCGATCTTTTATTCCAAAACCGTCCAATTTACATAGCGGCGTACCACAAAATCCTCGCTTAAATTTAAATGTAACAATAGCACAATGCAACTTTAGAGGCCCATTGTAAGTCCAACTTTTTAAATAAAATTCTCATTAGGCCTAGATGCAATATCTTGCATATAAATAATACGACGACATAACGAGTTACTTGGGTCGGTCTTCGCGTTATCAATTCTATGTATTATTTCTGTATATTTATTATAATTACGATTTAAGTTCAATCACAAAATATTTTGAAGTATATAATTATTAATAATAAATTATATATTATGTATATTTGCACACACAAATACATAAAGTATATCTGTTTCTATTGATTTATTATTTACTAGCGCTCTGCTCCAACTTCGCCTAGATAGAATCAACTAATAATAATCAAACACCATTTATTTTATCTTTCATTTTTAAACAAAATCTTCAAGTTTTTCAAATAAAATATAGCCTAGATTCCTTCTGGCATTGCTCTCTATATGTTCGTATACTTCAATCGCAATCAGTTCAGCCAGTCGGAAGTTTACAGACAGGCACAAAGACACACGGAAAGACAGATAGATAAAAATTTTAAAAATTTATATATGTCTTAATAGTATTCATGCAACTCCCTAAGCTTAATAGAAGCCAGTTCTGTCTGATTAAAATTCTTCATTTAATTCTTACTCTTTACATTTATTTAAAATTAATGAAGCATTTCTGATTCTAAGACAATTTAGCCTTCATAAGGATATATGTCGCAATTCTGCATATTAATGCAATTTTGAAAAACTCACTTCTGCATTCCTGTAGTTTATTATAGGTAACAATGTCAAATTTCAATCATCTACGTCAAACCGTCTCAGAGAAAATTTCTATGAGAAACAGACATAGAGACAAAGACACCGAGGTGACTCCACTCCTCCAATTTGCTAATTTTGGCAGGCAACAGTGATGATGTTGCTAAATTGAAGCCTACGCGTAAAGTTCCCGTCCTGGTCCGCTGGTTGGAGGAGGCCTGTGCTCAGCAGTAAGACATATATAGGCTGTAACTTAAACTTTTTAACTTTAAAAAACTTTATTTTGTGACAGAATCGATAGTATATACTGATGATATTCGTAGGACAAATCTATTAACTGCAACCCTTTGAAAGCGCATTACTAATAAGCTTATTATATTATGACCTACATATTCTTTAAAGGTTTTAGAAACTCTGATACCTCGTTTAGACTCTCGCCTCGTGGCTCGTCTCGTACCTCGCCTCGCAGCTCGCGTGTTGTTGCGAGGTAACGAGTGCCTGTTTACACTCTTGCGATCCGGTCAGTTTGCGTTGAGCCAGCAACGATGAATGACGTCGAAATAATAGCGGCATCAACTCTTGCCTTAATAAGTATTTATCGATGTTTGATCATTTTAAAAAGAAGGAAATTAATACAAAAATACATCATCGAGGAAGAATATGACGGATGATATCTATTCATCGAAACAGAACCTTTTCAGTTTCATAATTTTATATAAACTGCTAGTACCTATTGTGCAAGATTAAATAATATTATTTTATTAAAATTGTAATTTTAAAACAAAAGCAGTTCGAATGTTATTATGGAAGGGCGCCGTAAACAAACTGAAACGAGACGCGAGTGTAAACACCACGCTCGCGTCTCTCGCGAGGCCCTTTGCCTCGTGCCCAAAAAACCGCCTCCGACGCGAGCGCCGCGAGTGGCGAGGCAAGCTGCGAGGCGAGCCACGAGCTAGCGTTTACACTCGCGCCTCGTGGCTCGCCTAGCTACTCGCCTCGTCGCTCGCGCGAGAGTGTAAATGGGGTATGAAACATAGGGTATTTTTTATGTATTCTGGGCTACAAAAATATTTTTATTTTATAGAATAAGGTTTTGAAAACGAACACATAGTTCATCTGATGATAAGTGGATGCTGTAGCCCATAGACATCTGCATCTATCGTCGATTTAGAATCAAAACTTAGGCGTTGTCACCCCTCATGACTAACTGGAGGGAAATTGTACTACTTTTGTATTTTATAAGAGATATAACGTTTAATTTTTTCAAAACAGCGCCACTGTTTTAAAAAAGTGAAACGTAGATTGTTGACGTAGTTTCAAATTAATACGCAACGGGGAAAACTAATCTTAGGCTAAAAACACATCAATCATTTATAATAGCGATTAACATTTAATAAGGAAAGTACTTACCCTAAAATTTCATGGTATTACAGACACGACACTTCTACAGACTGCTAGCTGGCCAGGCAGACATTTTACTGCCCTTAGCGGCAAACCTCTGTACTATAAAAATCCTTAAATTCGCAATAAACATTTTTGAGGCTCATTTATCGCGATAAACTATCCTACCTCTCAAGTTGGACCAAAATGCACACAGTGTGCAAAATTTCATTAAAATCAGTCCAGTAGTTTAGGAGTCCATCGGGGACAAACAACGTGACACGTAATTTTTATATATAAAAAGTTATATAGATCGAATCATATTATAGCCCAACGGATCAGTAAGCTGAAGTAACAATTGGCCAGAATTATATATAGATCGAAGTACGGACAACCGATGGGTAAGAAAGGTTTTGAAGTAAAAATAAATATGATACTTAAATTATCAATATTAATATAATATTTAATATGGTATTTTGCCACATTATTTTATATAATTGTTTGCAAATTTAAAATACCTTTAAAATTGACTTTGCAGACTTAAAATGGAGGCTAATAACTTTTTGGCCTATTTAGAAATAGGTAGAATATTTTTGTTAATATTTTTTTCTCCTTGAAACTCTACGCCTGTTTTAACTTTTTCATAAAGTGCTTTTCTCCATCCATTTAATCCATTTAACAATATTCCAAATCATTGCTCTCGAAATGATCATTAACCGCAACTTTCATTTTTCCATCATCGGGAATCATCTAGCCCGCAGGTTCTGAATTCCGTTTTTTGAATAGTAAGTAGAAGCCAGTGACCAAGTCTGGACTATAGGATAGACAATTGAGCTCTTTGAAGCCTGTTTCTCTCAAAAAGCTCCTCGCAGCTTGTAAAGTGTGAACCGGCGCACTCGCGTGCAAAAACAAAACGCCTTTAGTTATTTTGCCTCGGTTTTATCCGCAATTGCTTGATGTTCTTTTATCAAAAGGCTAGCGTAGTATTTGTCGTTTATTGTAAATCCTTATCTTTCAACAGGATGCCTAAGCAATATTTATAAAAAAATAGTGGCCATAAGCATTGGAGCGGACTCATTTAAGCTTCATTATTATTTGAAATAATTAATTATTTTAAAATACAAATTAACCCGCACACAGTGTTTCTACATTTGTCGCCACTTCGATATATGTATATGGCCGGCCCACAGACATCTCATCTTACTAATTTGTTGGGCTATGTCAGTTGCTCTGGTTCTATTGCAGATATCCTCATTACGAAGTCTATCATTTTAAGTACATACTAGTTTTAAACATAAAGTTTAAACAAACTAAACACTAAAACAGTAAATACTAGACGCCTAATAACTAGGTACTAACTTATTTTATATATCTATGAAGTCCATCGTCTGTCATTGAATATTTTAAGTTGCGTCAATGTGCGTAGCAAAGGTTCTATGGCACCTTTTTTTTAGGATAAGGGCAAAAATGTATGACAAACGAGCACACAATTCACCTGATCGTAAGTGGTTGCTGTGACCCATAGACATCAACATCTATCCCGATTACGAATTAAAGTGCAGAAGTGTCATCACCTGTGAGGACTAAGATGGAATGCCTTGTTTTCAGTAAATAGGCTCTCCGTTTCTAAACACTCATCATACGAAACACATAAGTGTTACGCATGTATTCTGGGAGAGCTTGGTCCTTCCCCGGTCGAGCCGACCCACTCGCGCTACCAACTATACCACTGATATAACTGTAGCATGGCTCTGCCACGTAAAACCTACCGGTAAATGCTAGAAAAAAGTATTAAGTACATTGATTCGAGTGCCTATCGTAATAGATGGATAAGATGACACGACTTTTCACATATGTGTCTTATCTAGCCTATACTAAAATGGACTGCATTTTCTTTGAGATACAACTAGTCTTAGTTAAGATATTATTAATATAGAAACAAATACGAATCAAATTGACATAAATTTATAGAAGTAAAATATATTCATGAAATAAAAACATAAACATTGTTAAATTACCCTCAAAGCGGTCATGTCAATTATCAGTAACTCTATTCTAAAGTAAGTGGCTTACGTACGAAATAAAGAGATTCCAAATTGGAGATTGGTTATGACTTATGAAAGTGAATTAAGATTAAACATTTTAGAGTATTGAAGAAAATAAATCTGGTAAATGATTATCTCAAAACAAAAAATTTCTTCAGTTTAGTCAGTGATAAATACTGGGTTATTGAAAATACAAGCAAATGAATTTCATAAAAATAGAACTACTTCTAAAGAAAATGCTATTTAAAACTTTCCTGTAAACTAAAAATAACTTCAAAAATAGTCTGTTAAGAAAATTTTTTTTTACTTTTTAATATATTATGTTTTTGGATATTATAAGTGATATGAAATTTTTTGTCTAGCTGAATATACAAATTTCGTGGGTTCGACATAGAGATATTCATCTATTGACCGTCGGAAGATATACCTACACAAGCGATCAACGGTTTCGGGCTATTCATCTACCACACTCTGAAGATTGGACTTTACAGGTAAAAATATGCACCAACAGTACTAGTTATAAAAATGTAATTTCATAAATCTATTTCAATTCTTATAGTCAATGAAGTTTTATGGACATTTTTAAATAACGCACTAACATTGTGACCTTTATTTACAACCCAACATGTTTGTTTTATTGTTTAATTACATTACGTAGTAACGATATAATAAGATCAATATTAAAGTAAAATAAAGTACAAATAACTTTGTTTTAGTAGTTTTTTATTTTACTTGTATTGAAAAAAGTTTAATTATTTACAATAAAAAATCATTAAGATAACAGTTACATTACTCAATTTCATAACTACTATAGATACATTTTGTAATCTCAATAACAAAGCTTTAAAAGATTTAACTGCAATCATAACGTTAACTGGAAACGGCTGAGCGTAAAACTGTGGTTATTACGTCGCGACGATGGAGAGCGGAGTAAAGAACAAAACGGTTAAAAAATAATCTTTTATGGAACATTTGCTGAAATCGTGAATGTTGAAAATCCGCAGTACTGAAATTTACATTTGTATGGTAATTTCGTTAAACAAAGTTATTTATTAGATTATCTTTTTTAATATTAAGAGAAGAACATGAAAATCAGAATTTATTTTACAAATTGCGCAGTAGACTGTAAAATCAAACTTTGTGTTACAGCCAAGAGTGTTAAAACTTGAATAAATCTGTAGTTTTGAAAATGAATTTAATTGTTTCAGATAAAATACCCGCAACACAGAGACTCCGGTATATATGAGTGTCAGATATCAACTACCCCACATATGAGTCACTTTATACATTTAAACGTAGTGGGTGTGTATTTGTTACTATATTTGATTTAATTTAAAATTAAAAGTTTAAGGCATGCATTAAAAACGATAACGACGAAACGAATTGTAAGTGCTTAATACATTTTTGGATAAAAAAATTTGAAGCTTAAACGCTAAATGAACAGTGGATGATAATTGTACAAAATATAGTACACGCCGACGACATACATATGGGGTCATTATCATCCTTACAGCCCTCCACGAGTCCACTGCTGAACATGGGCCTCCCCCAAGGAATGCCACAAAGCACGGTTATGAACCGTCTATATTCATTCAATGTCTGCATGTTTTACCAGGTCGTCACTCCATCTAGAGGGAGGCCGCCATCGTTTGTCGATTCTTTGACCATATAGGCCGGTCCATTGCCTCTTCAGCTTATTAATCCCTTGGGATATGTCGATTACTCTGGTTCTACTGCGGATATACTAATTTCTAAGTTTATCACACAGAGAGCCCCGAGCATAGCCCTCTTATTAGCTCGTTGAGCGTCCTTGAGCTTCCTCATATGGACAGCTGACTTCTCAGGTCTATAACTCATGACTGGCAACACGCACCTGTTGTACAACGTTGTTTGAGTTTGAGGTAAATATGACGAAAAGATGTACCGTAATCTCCCGAATGATACCCAGTCGAGTTGAATCCATCAATTGACCTCTCTCTCGAAGTTGGACTTACCTAGTCGGACTATTTGTCCCAGGTACACATACTCGTCAACAACTTTGAGCTTCATACTTCCAACAAATACTGGCATAGGTATGACATGGACGTTACACATGATCTTTGTTTTCTCCATGTTCACTTTATGACCTATCCGTTGGGATGCACAAATGAGGACATTGAACATAGTGCTTAGGTCCTCCAGCGATTCTGCCATAAGGACTACATCATCGGTAAATTGAAGGTGAGTAATGTGCTCACTATCGATATTTATACCGTATACTTTCCACTCAAAGTAAGTATGAAAACGTCTTTAAATGCAACGGTAAAGAGTTATTGGCATACAACGTCACCCTGTCTTACACATCTCTGCAGTTCGATAGGTTTCGTACTATGATTCTGCTGTACTCGGATAGCCGTCGTAGCCTTACTATACAAATACTTCTCCACGTATATACCGACTATATACGACTTGGTACTGCTGAAGGGACTGTAGAACCACCAAAATTTTGACGGAATCAAAAGCTTTCATAGTCCACATACGCATGAAAAAGGGGCAGATTGTACTCTTTATGTTTTAAATTTGACGAGGGTATGTGTGAGTGTTCTATGGTGCTAAAGCTTTTTTGGAAACCGGCTTGCTTGGGAGGTTGGAAGTCGTCGTAATGACTCTCGAAAACAAGTCAACTCACTTAAAATCTCCGGTGTCCCGGAAAGGATGCTCCCACATTCAGGCTTCAAGTTTGACAGTTGACTCTTTCTGGTAGACAGATCTCTGATAAAGAATTTGAACCCCTGGTTCCGTTCATTCATCGACTTACTCAACTTCAATACGAGCCGTATTGATGTTGAGTAAGTCGCGCTGCATGCATTTGGAGATCTTTCTGTTCAGTTGCCTGTATGCTGTCAAATCTGCTGAAGACTAAATTTGAATCCCCAGAGCCAACGTTTTTTACATTATTTTTTTTTGTGTTCTTGTTTTGATTCCTGACACTAGTTATATTGAATGGATAACAATGTGTTGTTACGTTTACAGTATATGCTAAGGCCCATCAAATGTCAACTGCTGAACATAGGCCCTTTGATATATTGATTCATAGAGGGGATATTTGCCATATTTGCCACTCTTGTTAGGTAGATTGGCAACGGCATTTTTTATGTTTTAGTTATTATTAGGAAGATACTGCTGCCCATCTCATGGCTGAATTCCCTCTGTCTTTCTTACAACAACCACACGGATTGATGTCTGGTATTCTTATATATTTATAATATATCACTGCTTCTACACGGTTACAGTAGATGCGTATAACATGCAAATACTGAAAAACTAAGGATTATAATATGATTAAAAAGTGAATACTGTGACGCTACTACATATTTCTATACTCAGTCAAATATTTTAATGGATTTTTTTCTTACTTTACTACTTTACTATTTCAACGTACTATAGCACTCATAAATAATCAAAATGGTATGTATCAAGCTAAATATTTTCAAGTTAAACTTTATTAACTTTGTGGCATCATGTGTCCAAATTTGAATAATTAAATAAGTTTTGAATAATAGCAGTGAGTACGATATTCGGGGAGTTACGATATTATAATAACATAAAACCGTGTAACGGTCTTATCTTAAATTATTTTGTTAATTTATTTAATATTTTATTCAATAATGAATTCTCGTGTTCGTGTAATTTAGAGAAAACATTCTGCAAGGCAACGAATAAAATTAATCAGTTTTTATGATTAAAGTGTAATATTCGTGGTGGAGTCATACTGCAGCTATATTAGTTATACGTGGTAGAGCCATTCTACAGCTTTATTAGTAGTATAGTTGTAACAGGAATGGATCGGCTAGACCGAAGAAGGACCACGCTCTTAAGGAATGCCAGCGTAAAAGAGCAGCTTAACGCTGTTGTGTTTCACATGGTGAGTGTAGAGAACCGAAAACACTTTTTACTGGAAAAGAGGCATTCCATCTTAGTCCTTTACGCGTGACAACGCATCTGCATTTTGATTCTTTACTGAGGAAAGATGTAGATGTATGTGGGCCACAACAACCACTTTCCATCAGGTGGACTATGTGCATATTTGTCACCATATCCTATAAAAAATAGCTCACTATGAAATCTAGGAGATAACAACGTTGATTATGGATATGGTCACTTTCATAGACGTCTACATTTTTCCTCCATTATCAGAATAAAGATGGTTGTCACCACTGAGGACTGAAAGGGACTCCGGTTCTTTACACTCACCGTACGAAATAAAACTTTATTAAGCTGCTATTTTACGCTGGTATGCTACGAGAGCGTGGTGCTACCTCGGTCAAACCGAACCATTCGTGCTACAACCATAATATAGCTGCAACGTGGCTCTACCATATATAAGAAGAGCCCAAAAATTATCCAATCACAATCTAAATCTCATAGCTGTTAGACGAAAAATGAAGCTGCAATATTTAACAGATATGACAGCAGATATTACAGATTTAACATATATGATAGATATGGCATCGACTCTGGGAACTGAACAGACAAATATCCAAATGCGTGCGTCGAGACACGAGCAATTTCAATACAGCCCTTATTAAATAAGCCATGGAACGGAACCAATGCTTCAAAGACTGCCAGAAATCTGGCTGCTAGAAAAGCCACATGCCGAAGCTTAGGATAGATTGTGGAAGTATAATTTTCGGGTCACCAGATCACGTCATCATTGGAGCCACACGTAAGTGGAAGAAATGACCTGAGTGGAAATTTTAATCCGACAATATTCCGATGATATCCCGGACGTCAGTCTGAACGAGGTTAGAATGACTCTCCAGCACCTTAAAAAAGCAAGGTCCCGGGCGAGAATGGAATTACAGTGGAGCTTCTGTCGAGTGCTAATCGTGTAGAAAACAAGTACTCTAAGTCTTTCAGAAACTCTTCAATTCAATCCTCCACGGTTGAATTATTCTTCAAGAAAAGCAACAACGCTTTTTTGAAGAATTACAGACCGATTTCTCTTTTGTGTTACATCTACGTGCTGTTTTCGTCGTCTCGCATGCATACTCGACGAATTCCAGCGTCCCGAATAAGCTAGTTTTGAATAGATTGTGTCAAAACCAGCTTATTTGGGATGCTGATGATTTACTATAGATTACACAAATACTCTTTGGCAAATTCTACTGAAGACCGAAAAGCTGATCTGACATTTTTTTTATGAATAAATAATTTGGTTGGTGCTACAGTCCCACAGTGATGCCAAGTTGTCCATCGCTATATTGAAGTGCATAAGTATTTGTACAGTAAGACTATAATGGCTATCTGAGTAGAGAACCAGATAACGAAACCTATCTAACTTAAGAGAGGTGTAATACAGGGTGACTTTGTATCCCCAAAAATCTTCAACACTGCATTAGAAGACGATTAAAAGCTACTGGACTGAATGGATACGGTATTGACATCACTGGCGAGTACATCATTTAACTTTGATTTGCCGCCAATATAGTCCTTCTGGCAGAATCTCTGGAGGACCTGAGGACTATGCTCAATGATCTCAATAGCATATCAAGATGAACATGAATTTAAACCATGTTCATCTTAAGATCTATCCGCAAAGGTCATGTAAAACGTTCATGTCACACCGGCGTTCTTGTTGGGAGCACTACGCTCGAAGTTGTTAATGAGTATGCTTACCTGGGACAAATAATCCGACTAGGTAATTCCAAATTCGACCGAGAGTTCAATCGACGGATTCAACTCGGCTGGGCAGCGTTCGGAAGAATACGACAAATCTTCTAGTCAGGTATACCTCAAAACCTAAAAACAAGATTGAACAACCAGTGCGTGTTGCCAGTGATGACTTATGTATCTGAGACGTGGTTTTTCACTGCTGGCGATATGAGGAAGCTCAAGGTCGTTCAACAAGCTATGGAGAGGGCTATGCTCGGGGTTTACCTGTATGATAGACTTAAAAATAAGCATATCCGCAGTAGAACCAGAGTAATTGACATAGCCTAACGGATTAGTAAGTTGAAGCAGTAAAGGGTAGGCCATATTGCTAAAAGAATCGGTAACTGATGTGGAAGAAAAGTTCTCGGGTGGAAACCTCGTGCCGGTAGGCAAAGTATAGGGTGATTCCGCACTAGATGGAGTGACGACCTTGTAAGATATGAGGTAAGTCATTGGATGCATGTGGCTCAAGACCGTGTTTTGTGACATTCCTTGGGGGAGGCCCATATTCAGCAGTGGACATGTGAATCGCTATAATAAATTAATGAATGTACATGGCATTTGCCCCATATGATCACTTGCTCTTTTTCTTTCTTTTTTTTTCATTGAAGTTATTGATATAAACTTGGGTTTTTTGGTTAGGACTAAGACTTAGGACTAGACTAAATTAATAATTTCAGTACTTTTAATTTCTTTTTTGTAATAGTCACTATCACTACCTGACGGTCTTAATAGAAATGATCAAACAAGATGCTTAGAGATAATGCTAAAATGTGCCAATATATATAATACACATATTACGACGACCAGTGACGGTAGGCGACCCAGTGTCAATTTATGAAAGCTTTGTGTGATAAGAAAATCGTATTAGATCCTCACGAGTCACACCAGTCAGTCACACAGTCCTGTCTAGTGCGTGGACCTCATAACTATACGCCCATGTTTATACACTCCAGCTTAGTTGGTGTGATAAAATCATAGTTTATAATTATACACTACTTTCATTTTATTATGTTATATTGTTTTTTTTTCATTTCAATTCTAATTATTATATTATTATTTACATTTTTTTAGTGATATATTTAATGCTATGTTGTCGTAGCTTTAAAATTTAATGAACTGTAATAAGAGAAAGTTGAAAAATTTATTTTTGTCCTAATAACATACTGTGACTGCAATTGCTATAAAAAATTATATTTTCAGAGCCAACAACAGAGATAATTGGTGGTCCAGACCTTTATATAGATCGCGGCAGCACCATTAATTTAACATGTGTAGTACTTTATTCGCCGGAACCTCCGGCCTACATTTTCTGGAATCACAATGATGCGGTAAAGTCAATAGATTATTCATATTGAATTTGTGTTAAGACTTGCAAAGTAACACGTTATGATTTTATTGTTGCCTTATTTGCCTGAATTATTTACTGGGTATTAATGCTAGCTGCAATAAATATAAGGAAATATTATTTAAGAATTAGTGTACCGAGAGAGAACACAGTCGACCTGATGGTAATTGGATTCTGTGGCACATAGATATCTACACTTGTTCTCACTTCTAAGGACTAAGATACAATGCCTCGTTTCTAGTAAAAAGGGTCTTCTGCTCTCTGCACTTACCATACGTTACACAGCATTATTCTGCTGTATGTTCACGCTCGTATTCTGTGAAAGCAAGGTCCCGCCACGGTAGAGCCAAAACATTCGTGCTGCAGCTATAATATTGCTGCAGCGTGGCTCCACCACGTCATTAAATGATTTAAGCTATACCTACCAACACGTTGAATCCAAATATTCTTCTGGATTTATTATTTAGGTCATAATATTAAAGTACAATAAGATAAAAGTAGAACAGTAAAGTGGCCGCCGTACTTCAGGCCAAATTAGCGGACTTTACAGTCCCATCGCATGTCGTGAAACAAACAAACGTTTCAAAAACATGTTTTCGGATATCTGGGTCATCCGTGCGCCGTGAGAAACAATTTTTTTCTTCAATGACGATGTACGTGGTTGAAACTAACGATTCGCATGCTGTTGTGTCGTAAATTAACGAACTAACCTTAGTGCAATAACGTCTGATCACATCAGATGAGGGAGGCAAAAGATGGATATGTTGTATGTGTTCATGTTTATCCATATATATAATATTAAATGTACTAGCTGTTCCCCGTGAATCTGCCCGCGTGGAATTTATTGCGATTGAGTTTTATGGGTTTTAAAGTAGCCTAAGTTTTATCTTATAACATCAGCTATCTGCCAGTGAAATTTCCATCCAAATCGGTTCACAGGCTTTTGCGTGATGCGTGTTCAGACAGACGTCGTATTAGAGTTTTATTACAGTATAGATATAATACATATGTTATTTTAATTTGCTGATTCGATAACTTCTGTTTCCGTGCCGGTAAACGATAACATATACAAAAGTAGCATAATGTAAAAATTAATACTCAGTATTAAATGAGTACTAATTTATAATACTATAATATATACTATAATAATATTTCAACAGATTATTAGCTACGATTCCCCTCGAGGCGGCGTCTCGGTTGTTACAGAGAAGGGTGAGACGACTACCTCATTCTTACTCATCCAGCAAGCAAGGCCATCGGATTCAGGAACTTATCAATGTAATCCAAGCAACGCACAATCTAAAAGCGTTGTGGTTCATGTTTTAAATGGTGAGTTGCATACTTTACTATTTTAAATTAAATAACTTATGACTACTTATTTGTGATCGAAAATTGAGACAAATTTTGTTGTACAAAAAAACAATATTCTCACAAAAAAAAACTCCAAATTGAAGCTTTTCTAGATTTAAGCAATTACCATTAAAACAACGACAGCAATAAATCAAATAAATGAAACGATCGTCCTTAATGGGATACAATGTTTTGATTAAGCCGTAACTGACGCGGCACAATTTATAATCCTAAAGTTTTATATTTCAAAGCACGTTTCGCATATTTCATTATATTTTTATAGATTTTACTTTTTATTACAGATCTATTTTTGATGTATTGGTCTTTTTATCAAATTTTATTATTTTTACAAATTTTGTTTCATTGTACATAACTAATATATGAAAAATATTCATTTTTGGTATTTTTGAGAACAGTTTTAATTTTTGCCAAAGAAGCAAATTCGATTTTTCCTTTGTCAGGTGAGTACCCTGCAGCCATGCAACGAGGTGGTCAAGCATTTGCACCGACGTCACCAGCCCATTTCTTTTTCCTCGCCGTTAGTTTAACAATAACACTTTCTTGACAAATACCAATGATGAATGAGATGTAAATAGATTTTTTCATATTTCACTGTTTGTGATGACGATCTATTCATGTTTCCAGTTTATGACTAATAACAAAATTTAGGAATTACAAGGTGTCACTACAAACAGTAAGAACATTATTCGCTAATTTATAGAATTGGGTTGTGTAATTTAAATTTAAAAATAAACCCTGAGCAGATAGATCAGTTGCTTGATGCATATAGATTTGTAAATATTGTAAGTTAAGGTATTTAAGTGTCTGTAATGATTTTACAGTAATTTTAAATTTGAGATAGAATGTATCTAACTGAGTAAATGAACCTTCTTGCGTGTGTAATACCGAATAATGAATTATCAAATCTTAAAATAAAAATAAGATGTATTTTTGGTGATCTTAAGACACTCATCACCAATTTTATATGAGATGGAGAACAAATTGAAATAACCATTAAGAGAAATAATGATAACGACACAGGAATGATGAACAGCTGACAATACTATATTAACACAAATGTTTAGAAAATACAATGATTGTATATAAACATGTAATGAGCATAGCGTATATAAACACGAAACTCGTGAAAAGCAGAGATATACGAATCACTATGTCTAGTTTTACTTTACATTAAGGGATGTAAATTATATGTACTTTCCAGAAATATTTCATGACTTATGTTTAAGTTTTTGTAAATACATATATCAGTGAAAGATACTGCACAGGCTTATAACTTTCCTATTATCTAATTTTAAATTCGACGCGAAAAACAAATTGATTTCTTAAACATATAAAAATGTAATGTGAGTGAATATATTTTAAAAACTACTAAATATGTTTCTAAATTGAAAATTTTTCAAATAATTATTTTGAGCCAACGTTCATAAAATGTTGCAAATAGCTATGAAATTAAAATATCATTATAATTTTAAAGTAATGCAACCTGTGTAGTAGAACTTTCAAGTAACTAAAATGTAAAATTAGTAAGTAGTATTAAATAAAGAATAAGAAATAGTCTTCATTTAAGTTATACATCTTCTTTTCCTTCACATATTTCTTCCTTCCAGCATAATCTTCCCGGATTTAGATTTAACTAAATGTCGTCTTTTTTTTTTTTGCCCGTCTATCCCGCAATATTTTGTTATAATTCTTCTAAAGGAGATTTATTTTTAAATAAAATCTAGTCGCATTCCCCGTCCTTGTACATGTATGTCTAATAAAATGACCTCACGTGTTGTAAGTTGTGGTATTAAAGTGCTTTTAAAGACAGAAACTGTCAATAAATCTGAATATTTATTTAATTTAAATATAGAAGATAGGTATGGTTGTAAGTAATCATCTACATGTTGTCCAATAGAATTTTCAGTAATTTATTACTATCGGTGTAAAAACGACATGACGAATGACAAAAAAATATTTAATTGACGTAGTTTTCTTGGGATATGGCAAAACTTAATTAATGTTACCAGTTATTATTGTGTCAGAAGTTTATTATTGTATACAAGTAACAATAGTATTTAAATTTGTTGTATGTATCACTGTATTTAATTGTGCAAGGAGCACAAAATAAATTACACGTATTATAAACATTATAAAGAAATAATAAAGTTTTGAAAAGTATGTCTTTTATTATTGCTAATATCATAACATTTATAGAAAAATAGAAATAGTGACGTTTTATGAAGGAGTAAAAATGAAACACAGATTGCACCCCCCGGACAAAGGAAAATGAAAAAAAAAGAAATATACATTATAGATTCATATTATTCCCGAACAGAGAAAGTTGTTGTTTACATAGAGGAGAAAAACAGAATCCATTTGTTAGGAAAAACAGGGTCGGAAAAACACGCGGTCCAAACCCTGCCGTACGAATATCTAATCGTACCGAAAAGATATAAAATATGTATTCTCTAATTCAAAAATACTTTTCTATACTACGATAACTATTCTGTTTTTTTTTTTTAGTTTAAGTGTCAATGTACGATTACAGGTTCAGTCGCTTAAATAAAAGTAAAACTACAAGCAATTCACTCTAAACAAGGCTTATATAATAGCCAAGCACTAGATACAGTTATCAAATCTTAAATTTTATGATTTACGAGTTTATTCATCATTTACTATATGAAAATTCTAAACCATAATATAGTCTAAAGTAATATAAAATTATGTAAGAACAAAAGCCATAAGTAATATAATATTTATACATTTAATAATTGTTTTAAAAATCTTATGTACAAATATAATCAAAAAACTATCAGAATTTTTGAATAAACTATACTATGATTAGAAGTAGTTTAAAACGTTTTATTAACGATCATTGGATACATTTCATAGGTTATATTTTAAAGATTGATATACATAAACATACAAATGGCAAGTAGTGCTGAGTGTGCGAAACGTCTGATACTGCTAACTTTAATCAGTCTCTCAATGTGAAGCCTACGATAAATACTGCTAATGATGATAATGACGCATTTGTAAAAAACAATTAAGTTTTATCAAACTATTAATTAAATGCAATTCTGTTAAAAAGATAAAGATAAAGATACATTTATTGCATAACTGTGTACAATATGATCTTAATAGAAAAACATATAGTTTTAGTCTCAACAGTCTACCCATGTCGGATATGCAACAATGAAAAATAAATTTAAAATTAACTACTTACTAACATTACTGTTACTAAAATACTCATTGTGATTGTAAAAAACATTTTCAATTAACAATTTCCTTAATTTTGTTTTGAACATATTTCCATTTAATTGCTTAATAACTAGTGGTAACTGGTTGTATACACGGATAGCAGTAATATAGGTGTACTTTTATAATAGATCATATTTCTAATAATAGGAAAGTTTATATCATATTTATATTTTCGTAAGCGTCACTAGCTAATGTTAATAGTAGTAATTCAGATCACTTCTAAAGTTGTAGATAGTGCTACTTCTTAATTATTGACGAGTACATTCAATTAACTACTAATAAAAAAACCTTAACGTGCCTGAGTTTGTGTGTGCGTCTGCTTTTTATGTATTTATTTGTTTGTGTGTCAACTTGGCGCACATAACAAAAAAAAAACAATTTGACTCCAACTTCCGTCCATTCTTTGCTGATGCAGCAATATGATGCATTCTTGGTCAGAAGCATTTCGAACTCTCAGTTGATGAGGTACCATTTTGTCAAGGTTCTTTATTTTTTTTATAGGATAAGGGTGACAAACGAGCACACAGTTCACCTGATAGTAAGTGGTTGCTGTGGCCCATAGACATCTACATCTATCTTCGATTAAGAATCAAAATACAGATGCGTTGTCACCCATGAGGACTAAGATGGAATGCCTCGTTTCCAGTAAAAAGGGTCTCCGGTTCTCTACACTCACCATACGAAACACAGCAGTGTTATGCTGCTATTTTACGCTGGTATTCTGTGAGAGCGTGGTTCTTCCCCGGTCGAGCCGACCCATTCGCGCTACAACTATACTATTAATATAGCTGCAGCATGGCTCTACCACGTATAAAACAATTTAACAGATTTGCTGTAAATGATTCAATATTTTTCGTCTAAAGACGACGCTGTTCAGCCGTAGTTTTGAACCAACTGCTTCCACTTGACACAAGTCTTCAAATCCGCTTCAATTCTTCTCCAGGCGACCTATAACACAATTGTTCTTCAGTAGTGCTAGGTCCGCTTTCTTAGGTTTAATGTTTATAATTTATCGATATTGTAATAAAACTTTAACCCAAAAAGCAAATAAATAACTGATTTTGTAAAAGGAATAACTTGAATTTTAAAAAAAAAACTGATTTTAGAATTCCAAGTCAAACGACTACAGTTCATAGTGGCTAGTTCAAGAAAACAGCAATTTCATAGGTAGAAACCTTGATTGTTAAATCAGTAGAATTTTATATTTAAAGTTCTAATTTATTAGAAACTACATAAATAGGCCTACTGTACAGAAAATAAACTTTAAATAACAAATCAGATAGGAACGTCCTAGTAAATTAGGGTGAATGTTTCATATCTTTTTTGTTTCATGTTTTATGTATTGTATGGTATTGTTATAAAAACTACAAAATAAATTATAAAAGTTTTTATCAGATAATCTATTTGTACAATCTTCTGATATTCACTACGTAATTTACTAAAATCGAATTTAGAAAATTACCACCTTCCAATAACAAATTTAATGAATCGGTGTGTAAACTCGTAAGGTAAAGTCAGCCATAATCACTTGGATCGATCGTTTTCCACGCGCCTATTTCCTTTTATGCTTGGTCGGCGCTTTACTAAATTGCCCCGCGTGACTTGCTTAACTTCATTGCTTTAGGTTAAAGACACAGTAGGAAACAGAATTAATTAGCCACCTACCTCAAAGTACACGTCATAATATATGTACGATAATAAATATATAAACATGGTTTGTTACTCAGTTACATACATACATGTTCTGTCAGAAACAGGGTATGGGAAATAAAAATTCCACACAGGCTGTAGAAAAACAAAATTCCCCTCTTTTGAGCAGCATAAAATTCAACACATAAGGCGTGCTGGATGATTCTGTCAAATTAATTCATTCTGTTATCTTGTTTATCGTGATTCTGTTCTTGTGAACCTGTTACATTAGTAGTGATACTGATGGTGTGCATATTTAATCTAATTATCATGTAATAAAGTTTATTACGTTACCACTACCACACGTGTAGTGTAACGCTAGTGTAATGCTAGTATAACGCTAGTGTAACGCTAATGTAATGCTCGAATTGTAATTACACTGCGCTGTGTGTGTAGTTTGTTACGCCTCGCGTACGTTATTGCTGTTAATGATTGATTAAGTGTAAGTAATAGAGCAAGTTGATCGTCCGCTGAGACACTAGGTATAATTTATTTTTAACAACAGTCTTTTCATGTTGTGTACCTTACAGTTCTAACTTTTGCTTATCTTGCTGTTGGAGATATTATTATCATTTAAATTTTACAATACTATACCTATAGTTTTTACGTTCG